TGTAATTGCTGACATTTGAGTACTTACCACGTGCTGGACATTATATTAAATGCTTTGGGTTTTATTTAATCCCATTTAATCCTCACAAGAATATTAAAAATTTAAATGGGATCATCCCCTTTTACAGATATTCTAAATCAGGCTTGGAAAGATTAGCTACATCTCCCAAGGTCACACAGCCCGTGCGTGGGCGACCCAGGGCCCGGTCACGGGTGTATTTGGCTGCAGACTTGGGCGCTTAACACGGTGACACACAGCTTTCGCCCTGATGCTCCTGTTTTGTGGAGGTGGCTTGTCTGGCGTTCATGTTCGCTCCCACCCGATGTGGACACTGAAGCTCAGAGGGGCTCAGGAACCAGCCAGCCTCGCGGTCACCTAGCCGTGACCAGAAACTTTCCCTTCGACATCATTTTTTAAAAACGACTGTTCTTTGTTGACCGTAAAATTAATTTTATGAGTTTTTGAGAAAAGGTGGACATGGAATGGGAAAAAAAAGCATGACTTGGATAGTTCATGACCTTACCTGACACAGAAGAGCAGGGCTTGCAAGCTGCAGCGGGGAGCTCTCGTGAGAAACGGCCTCTCCATCCTCAAGTTCCGGTGAACAGTGTCCTCCCGTGCCACACGGTTTCTCTGTCGAGTGACGAGAGATCATATGTTGAGTGGGGAATTCTTCTGGAGTCAGGAGAGGCGCTGCTGCAGTGTGTCCTCGGCTCTCCGGCCCGGCTCTCTGCCCGGTACCAAGCCCGGCCCGGCCCCCACGTGCTCGGCGTCTGCCTGGACTTGCAGTCTCAGCTGGGCCTCAGGGAGAGGAGGTTCTGGAGCCCTGCCTTCTGGGGCTCAGCATCCAGCTGGGCTTGACAGTGGTCAGGCTCTGCCCTGTGCCCCAGGACTTGATAACTGGGGTGTGCGTGTCCGTCCCCAAGCCCCAGGCTTCAGTCCTGGTGTCTGGATCTTGTCTTTGCTTCTCCAGCCCGAGTCACAGCTCAGGTACCTGCCAGATCACCTGGTATTTCTCGACCTCTGACACCGTTTAGCGTTACTGCCCAACCTCAAGTTCCCCTAGACTGAGTCAGAATCCTGGACCAGGGTAGTTTGGGCCCTGTGACCTATGGACAGAGTCCTACCTTCTGGACCAGACTTGTTCCTGGCACTGACAGCTTACCTCTGTCCCCTCGGCCCCAGCCCAGCCCGGCATCCACACCTACACCTAACCTAGTTATGCTCAGCCCTGACTGGGGATAAGCCTTTACTCCTTCCTTTCAGGTAGGGTCCAGCTCGCACCTGAAATATGAGACTTGACTAAGGCATCGACTGGACAGGGCAGAAAAGGGACGAGCCACTGCGAGGGTCAGCTGGCAAGAAGGAGGAGAGACAGAGGCCAGCACAGCCGGCACGGGTCCTGGTGGGGGCCATGTCTGACCCTCAGCGGTGCCGTCCAGTGACCATGAGCCCGAAGCGTATGAGTTTGACCTGACTCCTGTGACCCCTCAGTCCACCGTGGCCGCAGGGCCGGGAACCCCCCAGGCCTGGCAGGTCTGTCCGGCAGGTCCCTCTCTGGACGGCTCTCTTAGTCCTTCGAGCCTCAGGTCACGTTTCTCAACAGTTCTGCTGAGTTTGCTGCCCATCCCAACCCCTGCAATTTCCCACGGGGAACGTATTACAGTTGCCGCTGTAACTCCAGATGCCGGCCACAGTACGTGCCCAGGAAATATTGAATGAATGAGTGAATGAATGAATGGGTAATGAACGGATAATGAAGAATGAATGAATGAATGAATGAAACCACCGTGCTACCGTGCCTCTGAAGTCCTGAATACATAACCCCGACCCACCCAACTCTGAAAAATGCCCATCTAATTGATAAAACAGTGGACTGTGTATGAATCAGGTATTCGTTTCTGTTTTGACTTGTCCACTTGAGACAAGACAACAACAAAGAAACGTTGGCCACCTCTGTGCCGGCTGGCAGTCAGCAACACAGAGGGGCGCTGGCCGGGCCGCGGGCGTTGAAATAAATAACCCTTCCTCTGTGTGAGTACAGTTTCTCAAAGAAAGTTCTCCTCTGTACTTAATTGGATTCTTTCCGGCTGCAATTTAAGGCTTCTTCCTCTCTTCCCTGAGTGGAATTATAACTCATTATCTGTGAAGTTCACAGGGGCACTTTTTCTAAGCAAGATGCGGGACCGGCTCCGAGAGCACACTTTCTCTCTGCGCCTTCGTCTCCCTGTGCATGTGACTTCCTCAGACTTGCAAAAATTGTGCATTGGCTTTAATGAGTCACTACATAATAGGTTCCTATGCTGTTTGAGAAAACAATCTCCATCTGTTCATATATTGTTAAAAATTAATGGGTTCTTTAAAAAGAAAAAAAAAAAAGTTTAATCCTTCCCTACTTCCTTCCTCAAATACTGAATTTCAGACCCTTCGAGGGCCAACATAATTTAAGTGTTAATTCCTTCCTAAGCTGTTTTCAAGCTACTGCACTCGCCATGCAGATTTCATTAAACCTCAGAGTCTCTTCCTATGGATCTGTCAGAGGAAAGCAAAGTAACTCTTGCTGTATAGGAAAGTATTTTCTCGAGAGTAGTATCCTTCGTTCCCCTATCTGAAGACGTATGTATTTATTTGGCCTTCAAAAAAGAAAACAACAGTCCCTTACAACCGGAAAGGCGTGTGAGCCCTGGGCTCCTCATCTCATGTGTAGGAAACATCTGGTTTTTGTAATTCACAGGGCTCTCGTTTCTGGGTTTGCAGCCCTGAGTGATTCCAGCCTTAAATCACCTTTTGTTGGCAAACAATAGTGAGGGCCAGGCCAAGAAAGATGCGGGCGGGGCTTCTGTATGCAGAGATTAAGTAAAGGCGATAGTATGCCAATCCTCCCATTTCTGTTCTGATATATTCACCTTGGAAGCCGGTCTGTTATTTCAGTGATGAAGTCATTGAGAACCATCGTATTCTGACTTCTCCTTTAGAACTGGCATCCGGTTTAGGAGGATCCATCTTGATTTCGTTTAAGAGTGGAGTACATCTGTAGGAGCGGCGTGTGTTAGGTGGACGATCAAGTCGGTCATTCTCAGTGGGAACTCTGAAGTAGTTCAGAGGCGAGTTTAAATATGGAGCAGAGAGACCTGAGCTCTAGTTCTGGCTTTGCCATTTTGTGATGCTGGAAAGGTCACTTAACTGCTTTAAGCTTCAATTTCTCTACCTGCGAAGCGGGAATAAGACCTGTGAAACTTTACGAGGATTTCAAGTGAATAACCCAAGTTCGAGTCTTGTCTCTGTCAGTTCCGAACGTTTATGTCTTTTGTATATCCCTTGGCTTCGAGCAATATCAGCACAGAGTCCCGGGGTCCTGGAATGCTGGCGCTCCAAGAGATTATCCAGTCAACAATCCCACAGTACAGATGACGAAACCGAGGAGCGTAACGAGAGAGGAATGTCAGGGTGGCTACTTTCAAAAAGAACGATCATTTAGCATTTATATTTAGGGTTATAAAAACACCGAAAAAAAACAAAACCCAAAAAACCCCCAAATCTCATTTTACCGAAGCCCCCTGCTATGCTATCGAATTGAATGGGTTTCTTGATAAATGGGACGGCAGGCCTGCCGGGGTTCTAGATCAGGATCCCTCCGCTGACTCTGCTCACCCCAGGGGAGGAGTGGAATTACCCAGGGGGGCTGGCGGAAAGCTCCGCTAAAGCTTCCCCCAGAAAGGGCGAGTGCGCCGGTCCCTCTGCTGCTCTGGCGTGGCTTAGCCAACTCTGCAGGTGCCATTTCATCAGCCTCCGGGCTTATGTGACAGTTCAGCACAGGCCTGCGGGGGCTGAGGCGCCGGCTGTATGTGAAGACCACAGAGGAGGGGGCCAGGAAGGAAGAACAGGAGCCGCCCAGGAGGAAGAGGGAGAAAAAGACAGGAAAGTAAGAGAAGGGGATTTCATCTGTGAGGACGGCGGGGCGGGGTTGCCGTGGCTCCGCCTGGTGGCACCTGTGGCTGCTGTCTGTCCACCTGGGAACATTATCAGGCCGCCAGTGAGAGTATCTGCTTCCTGCAGTCAGAAAAACTCTCAGGAGAGGATTCCCCTCGCAGCTACTCCAGAAGCTCAGTACATTGTAACAGTCCCTGCTCTCAGAAAAGTCTTACTCGTTTAAAAAAAAAAAAAAAATTACTCGTTTAAAAAAAAAAAAAGTCCCTGTATTGAAATTACTTGCTTCATTAGCACACTAAAAAAATAAATTGTGTTTCCATTGGAAAATGCATCCTTTTGCCTCCTTCCATTTCTTATAAAGGTCATATATATATATATATTTTTTTTCATACAGGGAATAAAGATTTTAGAAGGGTGGTCAATTATTTGTCAATGAAATTATAGAAAGAAAGTGTAATTATCCTACAGAACTTAGAAATATATATAGCTAATTTTAATGCCCGCCTGTATCTAACCCGGCCATATTAATTATAGTCACTCTTTTTTTTTTTTTAATTTCCTGGGGGAAATAGTTTATTCTGGACCCGACGCATCATTCTACAGTGTGCACATATACATTGACCTTTCCTAAATCTGGGTCATTTGGGGCAGAAGGCTCTTTTGATAAAAGCAGTTGACAGTTAGACTCACAGGGCACTTCAGAGGTAAATGATGTTTCTTCCCACGTCCTGGTCATAAACCAGTGTGAATAACGCACGAGGTTAAGAAACGGAAAATCGCGTTCGCAATCGTATCGAAGCTTCGTGGCACTTTAAGGCGTTGCGTTCCGTTCTGCCACGTTCACGTTTTAAATAATACAATTTTCTTTTCCTGTAGATTTTTAAAAGTTCATCTATTCTTTTCTCTCTACCTTTCTGGAATAGCTTTTTATAATGCTACGCCTGTGCCCAGAGAAATTCCTAAAAAACTGTAAAAAAAAAAAAAAGTGTAAAGTCAAATAATCTTTTCAGGAAAATACAAAAATTCATTTACAATCCTCCAGCCAAAATGTCATTTTGTGTACCTTCCAGACTCAATCTGTGTACCAGGATTTGATCCAGGCCTCAACATGGTGACTGGGATCACCCCCATTAACCCGATGATACCAGGTCTGGGACTGGTACCACCCCCACCGCCAACTGAAGTGGCCGTCGTCAAAGAAATAATTCACTGCAAAAGTTGTACTCTTTTCCCTCAAAATCCAAGTAAGTGATACCTGTGAGAAATGTTCGCTTATTAATTTAAATTTCTTTCTTTTCTTTTATTTTTTTATGTAGTCTTGCATTCATTGCCAGTTGTGACTCAAAATTCTTCCATGTAGATACACAGAGGGGGGATCCACTCTACAGAAGTCCTTTGTCCTAGATTAGGACAAGTATGTGCAGAAGTGACCGTGTGTCTGTCCAGGAGCTGAATCAACACCGCGAAGGCAGTATGTGTGATTTGGGGATACATATCCAGCATTGAGAATCTTGTTGCGTTTGATGAAGTCTAGCTTTTACTGCATAACGTAGTGTGAAACACGTGACCACTGCCATCTATCTTCACAAACGTGGGAGACAAACTCGGAAATGTTTTTTGCTAGATGGAAAATTGAATTAATTTGGCAGTTAGCAATTTGGGAGGAGCCTGCATCTCAGAATGTCTGGGACAAATAGCATTTGCTTGAAGGAACCATACATTTGATGAAATGGGCCAGAAATTTTTTTTTTTTTTCCAATTTAGCCTCAGATACTAAGTTTATGGGCTTAAATAGCTAGGATTTTTTTTTTTTTTTATTCATATTAATCAGTGTTGCCTTTTTTAAGTGGACTTTTCAGGAGATTGCTTAAGCAATCTACATATAAACTAGGTAAAATGTCGTGACTGCGTACATTTTATCTTTTTATAAAGCCTTTCCCAAACTTAATAGTTTGCTCATTTCAATGTGAATAATAAGAAAAAAAACTCAACTGTTGTTTTCAGGCCCGGAGTCTCCCAGCCCAGTAAGTACCGTGCACGCTTTCGGGTTCGCCCCCCGCCCCCGCTTTCTGCCTTGCTACTCCGTTTTCCCGCAACAAGACAAAGCAGATGACGACCCGAGGGGTTTTTCATCCTCTTATTTCATCACGCTTTGTACTTTGTGAAGTTTTTCTTGCCCGTGTTCCGGGCTCCCGCATTATGAGGGAGAAATGAAATTATTCGTCCACGGACCGGCACAGCCACTCCGTGTAGAAATGAACACACGAAGGAAAGAAAGGTCGGGAGGAGGAGGGGAGAGGAGCTGAAAAAAACGAGACAGCCACCATCACTGTCAGTCGGTGTGGAAACCTGTGGGCACTCAGAGTGGAGACAGTCACTCTGCGAGGTGACCCAGAAAAAAAAAAAAGCGCGCAAAGAAATCAAAGGCAAAACCCTCTGTTTTCTTGTGCTTAATTATTAGATCTTCCACCCCCTTCCACGAGAGAACGACCTCCTGGGTGTAAGACTGTGTTTGTCGGAGGATTACCGGAAAATGCGACCGAGGAGATTATTCAAGAAGTCTTTGAGCAGTGCGGCGACATCACGGCCATCCGGAAGAGCAAGAAGAATTTTTGTCACATTCGCTTTGCGGAGGAATTCATGGTCGATAAAGCCATTTACCTTTCCGGTACTTTGCGTTACATAAGGGGTTTCCTAGGCGTTTCGTTATGTTTTATGATGTTATTATGAGTTTGTTCCCTTTGGCCTTCATGCACAAAGTCCTCAGAGTTTGGGGCTGGAAAAGGAGGAATTCTGCCTTTTCCCGCTGCCAGACGCTCCATTGTAAGTCTGCGAATGTACCTTGTTGCAGGGATGGTTTGCCACATCTGGTCTCCAGGGATTCCATCAAGTTTCTAATTAATGATCTCGAGTGCTTATTAGATGAAAAGCAATATTATGAATACTGAGGACCATTATTATTATTGAACCTAATTCTCTGGGAGAATAAAATACTCTCTCAGTGAAATGTCTGTGTCTCAGAAGTGGTTCACTTTCTAGACAGCGGGAAACCCAGTCGAGACCAGTTCTTTGCAGAAAAGTAGTCCGTGGGGGTTGGGGGAAGGCCCGATGGCATCGCTCAACTTCTAGTCCATTTAGCTTGGTTAAGCCCATCCCATGATCCCTTTCTTCCTTGAAGATGCCAATTTATATCGGAGATTTTATGTTGAAATTAGGCCCGATGCTGCCTTCCACTCTCTGTGGATGTCGGAGCAAGTGTATTGAGTCTGTCAACAAGGCCTTTGCCAAATCTAAGAATCATGAGGCCGATATTGACATGTGGCTTTCGAAGGATGCATTTTTAGATTCAGCTCATCACCACTTCCTCACACGCTCCATCTGCATATTTCAGCCTGTCACTCTGCACACCACCTCTTTATTCACCAGCTCCCCATTCCCGAGGCGAAGCAGATGGGGGAAGGTGAAGGAAAAATAGGAAAAAAACAAAAGCACATCGGAACATTACTGCTAGGTTGACTTGATCTCTGCAGTCGGCCCCTACTGCCATGGATTTCTCTTGCAAACCCCAGAAGCCTTGGGTTATTTCAACAGCACAGAAAGTTCCCTCAGCTAGATAACAATAAAACCCTCATCTGATCAAACCTTACAAAGCCGGGGTGTGTGTGGCGGGTGGCTCACAGCATTCTAAAACAGAGCCGGAAGACAACACGTAGAATAAAAGTATTTTACCACACACCAACAGCCATGTTTTACTTACACCGAGATAGTAACAGTACTACCTCTTCGGATTGTTATACGGATGAATCAAAATAACAGATGTTAAGTGCTTAGCAGGACACCTGCAACACGGGATCGTTGGGTTCAGCTCGTAAATGGTTGTTTTGAACACAGATAACACCGATGATGATAAAGAAGAGCTGAGTGTTGTTTCCCAGGAACCCTGCCCTGGGAACATGGTTCTCATCACAGCTCCACCAAAAAAAAAAAAAAAAAAAAAAAACAAAAAACGACTGCTTTACCCAACTGGATTAAATGAAAGGGTCGGAGCAGATCAGAGGTGCTTTTCAGCACCCACACAGCACCATGTTTAGGCCGATCGGGAACCCCATCAGACGTGCCAAAGATGAGCAGGCCGGATGGAGCGCAGGCCCGTGGAGGGCGCCCTGTCATTTACACTTCGGTGCTGTGTCATGCTTCCCAGCTCAGCCCTTCACTTCGCTTCGCTCCGCCCCTTTGCGGCAGGAGGAGCCTAAGCTCTGGCCTCAGCCCTGGCCTCAGCCCTGGCCTCGGCTCTGGCCTCCCTGCCCTTGTGCATGGCCTGCTCCCCGCTCTGACCCAGCCGCCCCGCAGAGGCTGCAGCGTCCATCCCAGGAAGATCAGAAAGGCTGATAATAGCAAGGGCAGGAAGGAGGGAAGGCAGCCCCTCCTCCCTGTGAGCCGAGCCCAGCTGGAAGGCCCGTCTAATTTTAAAACACGTCCACATCTGAAGGCCAAGCTAATTTTAGAGTCAGCCTCATCAGGGTCTCTTTCAAGGCCTTAATGATGATGTTTTGGTGGGGGGAGAAGGTGCTTTTTGGAACCAGAAATGTCTGAAAAGCAAAGCTCTGGACATGAGCAGGGAAAAGTTGCTTGGCCAGTTGGGAAGCCGGCCAGCCCGGGGCCGCCCTGCCTGCCCTGCTGTTCTGTGTAGATCACTATAGCCTGTGGCCTTACTAAATTTCCGTGGCTCACGACCAAGATCCACTCAGCGTTAGCGTTAATTCTGTTCGTCCGTGATCAGATATTTGAGTTTTTGATGGGCATTGTCACATCATCCCATTTTTAGATTAACGCCCTTGAAACCCAGGAGTAAGAAAGGCATAATGGGAATCGGACGCGAGGTCTGTTTCATATTTGTAATTTTTCAAAGGTGTGAAGTGCCCCACTGGGGAGAAGCCAGCCCCTACAGGGATTCTCAGCCCAGTTTCAACCCAAAATGCTGTGATAACCCACTGGAATATGCCGCGGTATCATGCCCATGAGCGTGGTGCAGCCTCGCATTTCACGGTGGTCTCTCACCGGGAAAGCCCCTCCCCAGCAAAAACGCCTATTTCGCTCCCTTCTCTGGCAGCCCCTGATCCTGCTGGGACCTGAATTTGTGTGTGTGTGCGTGTGTGTGTGTGTGTGTGTGTGTTTTAATCTGAGTACCCCAAACTGAAGAGCAAGCTCAAAGCCAAGTCTTCATCTGAAGTTAGGCTGGCGGTCTGGTTTGGGTTCTGTTTCTGTTGGTTTCTGAGATGAAGCTTCTGCTCGCAGCCTTTCTGAGTTGGGTAGCCCACAGCAAGTCCCCCAGAGACTGCAGGCCCGTTTTCTGGTCCAGCTCTGGGCGCTCGTACAGGCTCCTGGGGCCCGCAAACATGGCATGGACGATTTGTGCGGTGCTGCGTGCCAGGTAGAGTGCTGCCTGGTCTTAGGGAGGGCAGCGGTGAGGCCTCTTGATTGAAGGTAAAATATTCTCCTGCATGCCCCAGAGAGCAAGAGGGAATGAAACAGCATTGCAGAATCGCCTTGGTAATTGTGGCTTCTGCAGCTGCAGAGAGAAAATTGAGCAGCATTATTTTCTGGGAGAATACAGGGACGGCCCGGGAGTGAGGTGCTATGGAATTTAATTCGTAGGGCTCTTTAAACATCTCAGATACTCTTTATAAACTCCTACTCCACCTCTTTCTAAAAAGAATTGACGAGGGCTTATCCAATAGAGTTACAGTAAAGTGAAAATGTGAAATCAGGGCCTTAAAAAAAGGTAGGGGGCGGGGGAAGCTATGTGCCAAATTTGTTTTGGAGCTTCCCGGAAGCCAGGGAGAAGAAGGAGTTAGGAGGATGATACGTGCTCTGCTTCTTGAATCACCCTCTTGGTGACATTGGCTTGAAACTGGGTAGGTGACCCTGTGAGAGGCCTGCCGGCAGTGTGTTTACCCCCAGATTTGCAACGGGCTTGACTTGGCAATGCTTCAGGGTTACAGGGAGAAGGACCGCTGCTCCCCACCTCCGATGGGAGGGTGTCCTTCGTTCGTACGGGAGGGAAATGAGAGGGAGCCCCCCTCCGGCACCTCCAGGGCCTGGGCCAAGCCGGCCGCGAGGTGCGTGGCCGTGTGACCACACTCCCCATCGGTTTCAGGCTACCGGATGCGACTGGGGTCCAGCACGGACAAAAAGGACTCGGGCCGCCTGCACGTGGACTTCGCCCAGGCCAGGGACGACTTCTACGAGTGGGAGTGCAGGCAGAGGATGCGCGCGCGCGAGGAGCGGCACCGGCGCAAGCTGGAGGAGGACCGGCTGCGGCCGCCCTCGCCGCCGGCCATCATGCACTACTCGGGGCACGAGGCCGCCCTGCTGGCCGAAGCTGAAA